TATTTTTAAAGATGTTGATGTTAAGATTGATAATGAAGATCAGACATTATTTTTTCTATATTCTTTACCTTGTTTATTTAAGTATTTTGTTGATATAATGTTATGTGGCCGTAACATTCTTTCCAAGATGATGTAAAAACATCATTGAATTTTAAGTAGTTGAAGCAAAATGTGCCTGAAAACTTTATTGATGATCAAGTTGATGATTTGGTCGCTTAAGGCAAAAAAGTTCTGAGAATAACAAAGACAAATCTATATCTAAATTAAGGTCGGTAAAAGCAATTACTCCAAAGGAGAAGACCATTAGAAAGATAAATGTTTGAAACTCAAGAGAAATAAAAGTAATACTTACTCCTCAACTGCTAATAATTTTGTTAACTTTGCCGAGAAAAATCTTGACAATGCTTTTGTAGTATCACAAAGGTCACTTGATGACAATTAGGGTACTTAATTCGGATTGTTCCTATCATATGTGTCCTACAGAGATTGTTTCTCCTTGTATCATTTAGTTAAAGGTGGAGTTGTATTGATGGGGAATGACACATTTTATAAGGTGGTTAGCATATAAACAGTTCGAATTAAGATGCATAATGAGATTGTGAGGATGCTAATTAATGTTCGACATGTACTAGAGTTGAAAAAAAGAGAAGAAGCTTATTTCTTTTTGTAATTTTGACTCACTTGACTATAAGGACACATGTGCAACTGAAGTTATATGGATTTCTAGTGACTCTCTAATTGTAATTCGTGGAAAATTGTTAAATGGTCATTATTTACTTCAGGACAATATTGTTATAGGTTCTGCATTAGTTTCCACATATTTTTCATCAAATCCTGACCTAGATAATGCTCGTTTGTGGTATAGTATCTTTGTCATATGAGTACGCAGATAAATCTGTTGGGAATATACAAGAGAAGAGAGAGAAAGTTGAATAACAAAACACGAAAATTTAACGTGGTTTGGTCTCACAACAAACTTACATCCATGATCCCAAAATGGGATAATCCACTAAAATATTTATTACAATTTTTGCATAGATAAAATTGTAAAAGTCTTCCTCACAACAACTCACCAAATCTCAATTTTACTCTATTAAGTTATTAAAGAAAAAAGACTTGTTGTCATATCTTAAAATAGGACCCAAATAAGTCAATTTAGAAGAGTCAATGTCCCCACCTTTTCATCACACTTCCAATGTGGGACATGAGAATTTACACAACAAAATCCACCTTTGAGACTTGTAGATTATGTTTCGTTTGTAGCATCCAAGTTCAAGCACTCACTTTTTCGGTTTATGCAGCATATAAGTGCCACCAGAAATATTAAAATAGGCGACTTATGGAGTTTATTTGTTTAAGTATGCTAATTTAAGTCAATATAGAAATTTGCGATATTGTGGCGTGAAATTAAGCTCGTTATTTTAAACTCGAAATAAACCCAAACTTAAATCCTATATTGTATATAGGAATTGGTGTTGCTGCTACTCGAATCGATGATGTAATTAAATCAACACAAATATTGAAGTTATTTTGGTGTCTAGTTAATTTTGTTTGGTTCGAATACAAAGAAATTAGGATTTCTTTTGTATTCTTTTGATTGATTATTTGTTGTTTTGGGGATATATTGTATTTAATTTGAGACTCCTTTCGATTGGTTGAATGTTCTTCGACTCTTGATAATATTCGATCAATTATGATAATCCAACTATGAATAAATTCCCCAAAACTAAAACACCCCGAGATAGCTAATACTCAATTTGTTGGCACTACAAAATGGATAGCAAGTTAATTAGGCGTCCATTAGTTAATTAATAACGGACCAATGAACAACAAACACGTAGGGGGAGTCCCTCAAACTTGAATGAAGGTATAGTTTATGAGAATAAATGTATCAGCCAATGAGAAATCAACAGCGAGGCAACTCAAGCGAGTGATGCCACGTCACCGATTATGCACATTTTACATAGATTAATGATGGTGTGCTCAGTCCTCGCATTTTCATTGGTTGGCCGGAAATAGAAATATTGTCCAGAACAAGTAACAATAATATCACCCAAACTGCCAATCATTTCAGATCTAATGAATTTTTAATTAATTAATAAAATAATACTTTTACGTATCTGATATTTAAAGATGAGCAGCTGCCATGCCATTGGCTACTAATTGGTGAAATCTGTCCAATGGTAGTTCAAAGGCAAAAAAGTTTGGACTGTAATGCAATCCCCTGTTATATAATAATATTGTTTTTATTGTGTGCTAATCAAAGACAATGCACCATCTAACACTATACTTTATCTACACCATTTTTACATCACAATACTATTATTTTTTTAGTGTTCGTGCGAGTCAATACTATGACCCTCCATTTATAATAAATATAATTTATCTGCAGACTTCAAATTTTTTTTAAAAAATAAAATAAAATAAAAAAGTGAGAATAATTAATCAATATTTGGTAAGTAGAGGTAGAGCTAGCGTTGATGATTGGGCGATGCATGTATGCATGGTGCTCACGCTTCAAGTCCATTCTAGGGTTAGTTGGATTTCAATTAATTGTTTAATTAATTAAATAAATAATAAAGATATGCACTATAAAAAGACATGACTTAGAAGTTTAATATAACAATTCAAGTGGACGGATAATATATATAAATTAATATAATGCATCTATTTCATGCTGTGTTTCAACTCATATATATATATATATATATATTAATGGCTTAAAAGTCAGATTATTGTGGGGTGGTCCCTTCATTAATTCTTGTGCTTATGTAGGTATGTAATGTTTGTAATTATATGTTTAGGTATTAATAAGACAAATTAATTAGCATGTAGCAATAGTGTGGTACAGTTTGCATGAGTGCATCCAAATCCAATCAAACTTTTTGTCCACTAAACTATTCAAGCTGATTAAACCCCTTTACATCATACATGAGAATTCACTAGATACCTTCTATACATACATATATTATTGCATTGGTCACTACAATAGTATATATAGCAATAGAACATAAAGGGAAAATTGTAAAAAATGCTCGTAGGTTTAGTTATCATTTTAGGATATTTTTTTTTCTACTTTCGTATTTTAGGACAATATGTGTACTTCAAACATGATTTTTTCCTCCGCCGCTGGAAAAATGCACGTGACCATACGTGGTATTGCCGGTGCAAACGTGGACTTCGTCAGTGGTGTGTTGTCGCCTGCGTGGACATCGGAGGAGTGATGTGGAATTTCAATTTATTTAAAAAATATAAAAAAAAATTAAAAAATTTCAATTTTGCCCGATTGGACCAAATTGAAATTTAAACCCTAGATCCACGAGAGACAATCCCGCTCCCTCATTCTTCCACCCATTGAATCGATTTTCTTTGTCTCCAAAATCAAACCCGCTTATCGCAATTTTGAATCGAACCAATAATTTCACCCATCAAACACACCCACCCGCGTCCACCGTCGACCTCCGTCACACGCCGTTCCCGCCATCGTCTGTTAATGCATTGATGGAAAATTCCCAGCAAAGTTCAAGTGTGTAAAAATTTAAATTTTTTTTTTTTAAATTTACAATGATTTTTTGTGGTGATATTCCGCTCCAGTCATGGAGTTTAGAACAACTTTTTCTTTTTTTTCTCAAATTTTGTACATTTTTCTAGTAGTTTAAAATGAGTTTTTATTTCTAAGATTTTGTGTATTTAAACATATGAACAAGCGAAGGTGGGATCTCGTCGTCGGCACCTTCGGACTTAGAGTGCCACTGCGCAATGAAAGTTATACTGTACACTTCATGGACAGTGGATAATCCTGGAAGAAGATTCAATTGTTGTTCGAAATTGAAAGTATCAAATTTTGTGAACTATTGTAATTTCGATATTATACACATTCATCATTGTTCATTTGTCATACATATAGAGAGGAACACGATCGGGGTGTGCATTTTTTTGGTGGGAAGATCCACGAATGTGCAGTCGAGCGAAAGCTGTAATCCCGGGCTTATTGAAGAAATTGAATAATAAGGATGCTAAAAATAAGCTACTGAAGCTACAAGTTTCAAAGATGAACGATCGGGATGCTGGAATCATGTCACTAAAACAAGAAATTAGAAAAGTTAAATTGAAATTGATGATTGTTGTATGTTGTCTTCTTGCTGTTGTTTTATACATGTGGATGAAGTAAAAAAAAATAAATGAAGATTGTACTGTGTTACTGTAGGATATTTGCATTTGAAAGTTGTAGTAGTAGTTTTGTTAGCATTACATGGCAAATAACATTGCGAATATTATCCCGAGCAACATTACATAGCATGACACAGAAAACATGGTTACCAGTTTCAATATAGCTTAAATTTAGACAACGTAATCACATTATAACACATGATGCACAAAAGACAAAAAAGCATCTCAAAAATTTATATCAATCCACCATCAACGACATAAGAAAAAAACCTATAATGCCACTACCACACACAAATTTTAAAATGTATCAACTTAACTTTTTTCACGAGTTGTGGTTGAGCCCCTCCGTAAACCATGTCGCTTCTCAAAATCCCTGCTCTGTTCGACGAGTTTTGATAGTTCTTGTTGACTGACGAACAAGTATTGGTCCAGGTTCGAAGCAATGGGTGTTCGTGACATTTTCGATTGCTCGAACATTGATGGCGGTTTACGAGCTCCATTTTCAACTTCTCTTTTTTGTTTCTTCTCCTACGCGCGTACCAAGTTTATGAACCCATTGAGGTTAAATAATAAAATAAGGCATGCTTATGAGAGATATATCACCTCTCGCACATCTGCTTGTTGGTTTACATCCGAAGGTAATTGGATCTTTTTACCTTTGTTTCTTGTCTTTGGAAGAAAAAAGAAAGTTTGATATGAAGGAGATAGAAATAAAAGAGCGTTAAAGTATAATAAATAGATGAAACTCATGCTTCGCCGTTATGGTAGTGTATTGAGCTTTACTCGATGAGGTTCTGCATTGCATTTTGGGAAAGGCTGTAGAGGCGCAAAACTAAAACGTCAAATGATGTATTAAGATTGAATAAGCTGTCGAAAATATAGTTTAGATGTACAATAGGTCTTTCTATCATGGTTGTTGAGAGACAACTTTCAATAAGACTTTGTTCAATCAGGGTTGTTTGGGGATCTGCTTCAACTGGACATTGTTCAATCACGGTTGCTGGGGGATCTGGTTCAACGGAAACTTGTTCAATACCTCCCGATGCATTACGTGCCCTAACATTTATTGTCTAAGTAACCAAAACAGAAAATATGAGTGCCCCTGAAAGCAATTTTAAAAGAATTTTAAAGATATAAAGCCGCATACACTGCGCCGTAAAGGTAGCATTGGTTGTCTTTTTCATTTCGGTTGTGCAATTTGATCAACCCTTCCGCACGCAACATTGGTAGTGGATTCTTTTTGTGTTGGTTCAATTTGTTCCTCAGTCTCACCCTAGGATAGTTTAATTGTACTGGATAAACATCCACACAGTGTTAATAAAAAACCACACAATGCAGTGTTAGATCCAAACCGTAGTATTATCCTTACCGGAGCACTTTCGTGGACCGAAGTTCGTCCGCATTGTTCTTTAGCTGCGGGCAAATGTTCTTCACTAGTTGCTCCCTCATCCATAGTTTCTCCCTTATCCATAGTTGTATCCTATATATTAACACACAAGTCAAAAATAAGTAACACATATTATATTATATAAACTCATAAAAATCTACATACAAACCTTATGTTGTGAGTTCAAGGATGGGCAGTGGGTTGCATTATGGCCAACAACATCACAATGGCCACATTCAATGGCGGTTTGTCTTATTTTCAACCTCGATTTTCCCTATTTTATTTCAACATTTTTTCGAGGCTCCCCTGGATCACGTTTTTGTAGTTTCTTTGGCCTCTCAATGCGTCTCCTAACAGTGGGTGGCTCTGGAGGAGGGTAAGTTGTGTGTTCCCAAAACACCTCACTACTTACGGCTCTGATTGAATAGTCATAGACTTGGTTATATGTTTCCACATCATACACGCTGCTCAGATAGTCTATCGCATCCCCCTCTTGATTTCCGATTGCCGAGATAACATGATTACATAGGATCCCACTCAATTGCCACGTCCTACACGAACACGTCCTGTCGGCCAAGTCCACACTGTGTTGTCTTCCATCAGCGCGAGATATCTGATAATACTTGTCATTTGACTTGATCAGAATACGATCTGCCACCTTTGCTCTATTCCTTCGAACAACCTGATTTGCCTTCAGGCAAATCACCAAGTCCCCCTATTTTTTGTGTGCATGATCACTGTTAGCTTGCAATCGCTTCATAAGATACACTTGAATCTCTTCAAACATAGATAAAATATGCTTGTCTTGGGCCTCGGATATGACACTGTTAAAACTCTCACACGTTATTAATAAGCAGCTCACACTTAGAAAATAGCTTAAAGTGTGACTTGCTCCATTCCTCAGCAGGCTTTGCTCGAAGCTACTCCCACGCCTTTTCGTCAAACTCCTTTACCCCATCCATCTTCTGTCTAGATTCACCAACAGTGGGTGCCCGCGCTGCCTTCTATAAGGCATTCTTCCATGCTGTCCCTTTAAAGCCAGTGGTCAAAAATTTATTGTGTAAGTGCCGCACGCAACATCGGTGCTTCTTCCCAGGGAAAACATCCAACAATGCTTGCACAAATACTTTATGTTTATCAGACATAAAACAACTTTCCCATTCAGATGTTATTTCCAAATCCCTCTTCAATAATGTCAGAAACCAAGTCCACATTTTCCAAGTCTCATTTGCCACTGATGCAAACGCTATCGGAAAAATAAAATTGTCTGGATCGAAACCAACAACAGACAACAAGACTCCCCCATAAACAGTCTTAAGATGACATCCATCGATGCCAATAAAAGGCCTACAACTTTCCTTGAGTCCCCTTTTCAGTGCATCAAGGCATTTATACATTATGTCAAATGTGGAGTTATCCCCATCCACCTTGGTCCCTAACACAACAATTGTCACAGGATTAGATTGTCGTAGTGCATGGGCATAATCCCAAAGTCTACCATACTAATGTGTGGCATCCCCTTCCAACTCTTTCAAAGCTCTTTTTTTGGCCCTGTAGGCCATATCCTTTGACACATTTAGGGTGTGTTCGTTTGTAGGACTTACACAAAATCCTACTATTCATCCAAAAATTTCCCCCCAAAAACATCAAATCAAACACCTATTTTTCATTTTTTATATTATATTAAAAATCAATTTTACATTCAAAACATCACATCAACACCTATTTATATCACATCATACAACTATTCAAATTCAAAATTTTTACTATTCAAATCCCAACTCAAAATCCAAACCCCCAAACAAACACACCCTTACTTGTAATTCGTTGATAGCATCCATTTTGAATCCTTTCATTGTTCTTTTTGGGTCGGATTTCAACTTATTTGCATACTTATCGCTCAACCACTTCATTTTCATATTGGACAGGTTGAACTTCTACTCACAATTATGTTCTCCATGGTATACTGAGATCTCAAATCCAATTCCAGCATCCGTAACACGTACATAAATTTTTCATCTACAACTACTGTCACCACAATCAACGTACACTCTTTTTGGGTCAACTTTTGTGAACTTTATTTGCCCCCTATTGACAACAGCGTAGGAGTTCACAACATATTTCAACTCATTCCCGCTTGAAAAGGCCATACCAATTTCAAACTCTGGTGAAAACAAATCATTTTCCTGGAATGTGGGAAAAGGCTTCTCCTTCAAGCCACCGTCGTCTGATTCCACCAATTCTGTAAGTTCATTATCAATCTCCAATATATTTTTTTATCTCATGCTCAGCATCCCCTCAAATGCACTCTTCCCCTTTCATCCATATGTTTTTCTCTGTCTCCTTCTAAATCACCGATAATCTCCTCGGATATATCATCCACATTATCATCAAACAATCATCCTCCTCATCAGTATCTGAACCAATGACAAATTCTCTGTCAGATTCAGAAGCCTCACCTACTTGTATGCCCTCACACTCCTATCAACTTCAATTCCTTTCGTCACCCCACCAGATAGCTCCTCATAAATCCCATCCACATATTCATCGAACAAATCATCATCGCACTCATCCAGTTCTGATTCAGTATAATACTCTACATCATACTCGGACTCACCATCTGCTTCTATCACTTCTCCTATATCCACAAACACATCTAATTCACCAAGTTTCCCACCTATGTTTTCCGATGCTATTTGACTAAGGGATTCATCATCTACTACAAATCTAAACCCCTCATCTCTATATACGTAGAAATCCAACTTATTGGTGCTCGATACCCCACAGTTAAAAGCATATCTAAGTAGGCACGTTATGTTAAGAAAATTTACCTCGATCGGGTCAGAAGATGTTTTCTTGCCCCCAGCGTATTTTGGGCTGTTAAGAATAGAGTTATTGTCGCTTTACTGGGGGTGGTGGTCCAACACCTAAGAATCAGAGTGAAAAAATAACTGTCAAGCATCAAATTGAGGCCACAATAGCTAAGTAATTAATTCAGAAAAATGAGAACACAACTGGGCATGCTTTCCATAAACGAACACGACAAAAAAAATCACATCTTATGCGATTAATTGCTAGTAGAACAGAACACAAACCCACATACTTTCTTTTCTATTCGACAAAATATATATATATATATCAAACCCTAAGCGCAGTGAAAAAACCATACCTAATTTTGTGGAGTATTTGTGTGTCGTACGAGGTGAAAAAAACCCTAGTCATCGCCCTACCCTAGTCCTGAAATAATGGAGTTTTTCGCAGCGATTCCACCCCACGAGGTGGAGTATTTGTGTGTCGTACTGTGTGGTTCAACGTCGGTGGTGGAAAGAAAGGTGGGCCAATGGTGGAATCAAAACGGAGGTGGGGGAGATTGATGTTGGGGAGGAGATTAAACTAGGGCTCTGCTTACGGATTCAAATCAAAGGGAGTGGGATTGTCTCTCATTGATCTAGGGTTTAAATTTCCATTTGGTCCAATTAGGCCAAATTGAAATTATATTATTTGCAATTTGGTCCAAAAGGGCCAAATTAAAATTTTTTTATTTTTTTTTATTTTTTAAATAAATCAAAATCCCACATCACTCCTCCGACGTCCATGCAGGCGACAGCACACCATCAATGATGTCCACGTTTGCACCGGGAATGCCACATAGGCACAAATGATGGTCACCTGCGTTTTTTCTGGCGCCAAAGGGTAAAAATCATGCCCGGAGTACACATTGTCCTAAAATGCGAAAGTTGAAAAAAATGTCCGAAAATGATAATTGGACTTACACACGGGGCAGTTTTTGTAATTTTCCCAAAATTAAATGCTTAAATTAAATTAAATATCATATATATTGGAAGAAAATAAAATTCTTATATAATAAATGTGTGATATTTAATTATGCACATATGTTAATATTTGTACAATAAATATCAACCATTAATGCAAAACTCTGCTTAAAATGTAAGATATAGTAGAAATATTACGTGCATAAATAGAGCGATATTAAATTTGACAGCAAAATAAATAAATCTTGTCAATAAAGAAAGTATTATAATTAATATCTTCCGAGATACGAAATGATATAAAGATCTTGACAAGATAGAAAGGCGCGCAATCAAATTCTTCAAAAGTGGAAAACAACACTTGATGGAAAATGAAAGATTATAAAATCTTTCGGTTGGCCAATCATGATGTGATACGTGGAATCATTAAAATAGGAAGCCAAGGCCACCCCTCCCCTATAAATAGGGTTCATGGCAACTTCATTTGAGACACCGAAGTTACATCGAGGATTCAAGCAAATGGGTAAGTCTTTAGACTTTCTATGTATTAGTCTTCATGCTCTTTGTGTCTTTCGAGGCGTTCTTTGTCGAAAGTCACTAATTTAAACATGTGATCCAAAATTTTTGACGAATCTTAATGTTCTTTTTCGTATGCCCAAGCCGGAGGAAAGATCAAAACTTCAAAAGCCGTTGAAGGATCTGTCAAGGGCAAGGAGGAGCCTCCCAAGTTCATCCCAAAGCTTCAAGGTGTTCGTCGCGTTCTTTGTCAAAAACATCAACTAGATCCTCTTCGATCCAAAATGCAAAGGGACACGCCGCCAAAAGTGTTATGGAACACAAAATCCACCTCCTCAAAGATCAAAGTCTCGGATCGCCTAAAGAAGACATCAAATCCAAAGCCAACGATCAAATCGCCCACACGGCGACCAAAACTCTTCAAAAAGCGGAAAAGCCAAACCAAAAATCAAAGCCTCGGATTGTCCAAAGAAGACATCAAATCCAAAACCGACGATCAAATCGCCCACATGGAGACAAAAGCTCTCCAAAGGCGGAAAAGTCAAACCAAAGATCAAAGCCTCGGATCGTCCAAAGAAGACATCAAATCCAAAGTCGACGATCAAATCGCCCACATGGAGACTATAGCTCTCCAAAAGGTGGAAAATCCAAACCGAAGATCAAAGCCTCGGATCGTCCAAAGAAGAAATCAAAATCCAAATCCGACGATCAAATCGCATACACAGAGACCAAAGCCCTCCAAAAACTAGCAATGCCAAACTAAAGATCAAAGCCTCGAATTGTCCAAAGAAGACATCAAATCCAAAGCAGACGATCAAATCGCCTACACGGAGACCAAAGTCCTCCAAAAGCTAACAAAGTCAAACAAAAGATCAAAGCCTCGGATCGTCGAAAGAAGACATCAAATCCAAAGCTGACGATCAAATTGCCCGTAAGGAGACCAAAGCCCTCCAAAAGCAAGCAAAGCCAAACCAAAGATCAAAGCCTCGGATCGTCCAAAAAAGACATCAAATCCAAAGCTAAGGATCAAAATTGCATACACGGAAACCAAAGCCCTACAAAAGTCGGCAAAGCCAAACCAAAGCTCAAAGCCTCAGATTGTCCAAAGAAGACATCAAATACAAAGCAGACGATCAAATCGCTCTTATGGAGACCAAAGCTCTCCAAAAGCCGGCAAAGTCAAACCAAAGATCGAAGCCTCAGATCGTTCAAGTAAGACATCAAATCTAAAGCTGACGATCAAATTTCCTATACGGAGACCAAAGCCCTCCAGAAGCCGGAAAATCCAAACCAAAGATCAAAGCCTCGGATCGTCTAAAAAAGACATCAAATCCAAAGCTAAGGGTCAAATTTTCCTGCACGGAGACCAAAGCCCTCCAAAAGCCGGCAAAGCCAAAACAGAGATCAAAGTCTTAGATCATCCAAAAAAAGACATCAAATCCGAAGTCAATGATCAAATCGCCCACACGGAGACCAAAGCCCTCCAAAGTCCGGAAAAGTCAAAACAAAGACCAAATTCTTTCGGATTGGCCAAAAGGACATCAAGTCCAAAGTCGACGATCAAATTGCCCGCACGGAGATCAAAGCTCTCCAAAGTCCGGCAAAGTCAAACTGAAGAGCAAAAATCTTCGGGTCAAAGAAGCCATAAAAATCAAGTTGGAAACGAAATCAATCCGGAAAAAGACTCAAAGGACCCAAATATAGAATAAGACCCACTTTAAATCCAAATTAAATATAATTTGTACAAATCTTGTGTTTATTGAAAATAACACAATTTATATCTACATATACACATCAATAAATAAAATCTAATTAACATCAGTAAATAAAATCTAATTAACTGTCTGTCTGTATATAAATTAATTTTGTGGATTCAAGTGCTTAAAAGAAGATTTTGGTACCGTTGAATTGTAGTTCAATAATATAGTAATAGATAATAAGACAAAATTACTCATAATCCACCTATGATTTGAAAGGTCTATATCATTCTCCCTCATAGTTTAAAAGTTGTCTGATAATCCCTCTTATTTTAAAAAATATTGCACAAAATACATTTTTAGGAAATTATATGCAATTTTTACGAAGATATAAAAGAGTTTCATGTAATTTTTAGAGGATTCTATACAATATTTTTCAAATACGAGGAAATCTCGTATAATTTCTAAAACATGAGAAAATATAATGTGAATTTTCCAAACCACAAGTAAGTTTTAAAAATTTTACTTAATAATAATAATATGGTTTAAAAATATATACGTCGTTTGACTACTGGTTTCATGTATCGGTTAACAATAAAATTGTGAATTATATGATAACACTCTTTCTTTTTCTTGTTCTATTTTGTTTTCCTAAAATCACCATTATATTAAAAACTTTCAATTAATTAATTCATAAAATTTGATGTAACAAAATATATAGGATTTTAAACTTGAGCATCTTAAGCCTATATGTGTAATTAAGTTGGTAGTTGACGGGGGTGTGAAGTGTGATGTGAGGCATGCTTAACCATATAGGTTGAGTATGTGTACTAAGGGTTTTAGCTATATTTAGTGTCATTTTTCCTATGTGTAATATAGTCATTTTTCTTTCTAATTCACAGTGAATTTTTGCCTTGGTTAGTACCTTAGACATAGAGTAATTGAACCGTTAGAACAACCAAAATTATTGTTTGTGTCTTGATATTTGTAACAACTGATATCGAAGCTATGCACAGTGATAGCTCTCTTGGTAAGTGAAGGAAAAGGTCTAAATGACATATTCAGCATAGTCAATTGTAGGTTTTGAATGGTGTAGATGGAAAATTAATTTGCTCGCGAACAATATGCACAAACATCCCGCTCACAGACAAAACATACACTATGAATATGATGAAGGATTGGAATGTTGAATTGGACATCCATGGTTGTAATTAAAATGTTCTTTCATGGAATGTGGCATTTGTCGTACGATGAAAGAAAATTGAACCAATGAGACAGTGTAAAAGTATGTAATAGACTATGTCTTCTTATACTAGCTAAGTTTATCTAATGTAGAAATAACTGAGTCCATTATCATAGTTGGTTTCTGTTAATATTGAATTTGATGAAAAGATGAAGCCCAATCCAGCTTTATAATAAAATAATAAACTGAAGTTCAATACAAATGAAAATATCAAGTGCTAAAATTTTAAAGAGATACAAGATAGCGGGATCTACCCTAAATATAGAAATTTGATATATATTAATTTTGATCGAACCCATATTTGCTCAATGGATCCAATCGGCTGGACCAGAAGCTTCTCAGGCTCAAGCATTTACTTTTGCCGAAATATCACAAGTACCCCCGCGTCCTGAATTTAGAGCAAGTAATTCAGCATATTTTAACATGAAAAGTAGGGAGTGCAGTGTCTTGAAATAATCTGTAGGGACTGAACTTAAATATATTTTGTCTGACATGGATTTAAATCAAAGTGCCCCTTTTCATAATAATAATAATTATTATTATATGCACTTATATAAAAGAAGAAGGGAATTAGAAAAAAGGAGAGCTAGGTAGAACAAAGATGTTGCAAGCAGTTAAATTTTCTGATTTTTTGGAATTAGATAGATAATATGCAGGTTTGATCCTTGCAGGATATTGCACTCTCAAAACTTGCAAAGTATACCGCCGATTGATTAGATATTCAATATAAAATAAATTTCAGAATTAAAAATAAATTAGCATTAAACTCAATATTTTTCAATTAAAACAAAGATACTAAGCTTATTCCCCGGCAACGGCGCCAAAATTTGATAGAGGAGTTATGGGAGATTTAAAACTATTTTTAATATACAAGAAATGATCTATGTATGAAATGAAAATAGTGTTGTGCGTGTTCGTATAATAACTCCAAACACTTCATCAAAAGTAAAAAAAATCTCTTTAACTGGTAAGTGTCCGGATCGAACTCAGAGAACATGCGAATATCCTATATTTAATTAGAAAAAGTGCAATGAGTTAATATAATCGAAAGAGCTGACAAGTAAACATGTGAAAATTAAATCTAACTAAAAAAGAATAAAATATACGTATCTCGAAGAGGATGGAACTAGGCGTTTGTGTCTGCCCTGTATGTTATTAGATACTAGGCTTCCATGCATGAAATGAG